TGGTGGTGCAGGTGGTGTTGGTGGTGTGGTGGTACAGGTGGTGTTGGTGATGGTGGTACAGGTGGTGTTGGTGGTGGTGCAGGGGATGTTGGTGTGTGGTGGTACAGGTGGTGTTGGTGGTGGTGGTGCAGGTGGTGTTGGTGGTGGTACAGGGTGGTGTTGGTGTGGTACAGGGGTGTTGGTGGTGGTGGTACAGGTGGTGGTGGTGGTGGTTACAGGTGGTGTTGGTGGTACAGAGTGTTGGTGGTGGGGTACAGGGGTGTTGGTGGTGGTGGTACAGGGGGTGTTGGTGGGTGCAGTGGTGTTGGTGGTGGTGGTCAGGGGGTGTTGGTGGTGGTGGTACAGGGGTGGTGGTGGTACAGGTGGTGTTGGTGGGGTGGTGGTACAGAGTGTTGGTGGTGGTGGTACAGGGTGTTGGTGGTGGTGGTGGTACAGGTGGTGTTGGTGGGTATGGGGTGTGTTGGTGTTGGTATAGGGGTTGTGTTGTGTGGTGGTGGGCGATTGGTGTTGGTGGGTGGTGATACAGGGGTGTTTGGTGGTGGTGGTGCAGGTGGTGTTGGTGGTATAGGGGTGTGTTAGTGGTGGTGGTACAGGTGGTGTTGGTGGTGGGTGGTACAGGTTTTGGTGGTAGGTGTTATTGGTGGTGGTACAGGGGGTGTTGTGGTGGTGGTGGTACAAGGGGTGTTGGTGGTTCAAGTGGTGGTGGTGGTACAGGTTGTGGTGGTGGTGGTGGTACAGGGGTGTTGGTGGTGGTGGTACAGGTGGTGTTGGTGGTGGTACAGGTTGTGGTGGTGGTGGTGGTACAGGCGGTGTTGGTGGTGGGTGGTACAGGTGGTGTTGGTGGTGGTGCAGGTTGTGGTGGTGGTGGTGGTACAGGCGGTGTTGGTGGTGGTGGTACAGGTGGTGTTGGTGGTATAGAGTTATTGGTGGTGGTGGTGGGTACAGGTGGTGTTGGTGGTGGTGGTACAGGGGGTGTTGGTGTGGTACAGGTTGTGTGTTGGTGGTGGTACAGGCGGTGTTGGTGGTGGTGGTACAGGTGGTGGTGGTGTATAGGGGTGTGTTAGTGGTGGTGGTACAGGTGGTGTTGGTGGTGGTGGTACAGGGGTGTTGGTGGTTCAAGTGGTGGTGGTGGTACAGGTGTGGTGGTGGTGGTGGTACAGGGGGTGTTGGTGGTGGTGGTACAGGTGGTGTTGGTGGTATAGGGTGTGTGTGGTGGTGGTACAGGTGGTGTTGGTGGTGGTGGTATAGGGGGTGTTGGTGGTTCAGAGTGGTGGTGGTGGTACAGGTTGTGGTGGTGGTGGTGGTACAGGTGGTGTTAGTGGTGGTGGTACAGGTGGTGTTGGTGGGTGGGTGATACAGGGGGTGTTGGTGGTGGTGGTGTTGGTGGTGGTGGTGCAGGTGGTGTTGGTGGGTGGTGGTACAGGTGGTGGTGGTGATGGTGGTACAGGTGGTGTTGGTGGTGGTACAGGGGATGTTGGTGTTGGTGGTACAGGTGGTGGTGGTGGTGGTGGGTACAGGTGGTGTTGGTGGTGGTACAGGTGGTGGTGTGGTGGTACAGGGGTGTTGGTGGTGGTGGTACAGGTGGTGTTGGTGGTGGTACAGGGGATGTTGGTGTTGGTGGTGGTGGTACAGGTGGTGTTGGTGGTGGTACAGGTGGTGGTGGTACAGGGGTGTTGGTGGTGGTGGTACAGGTGGTGTTGGTGGTGGTACAGGTGGTGGTGGTGGTACAGGGGGTGTTGGTGGTGGTGGTACAGGTGGTGTTGGTGGTGGTGATACAGGTGGTGTTGGTGGTGGTGATACAGGTGGTGTTGGTGGTATTGGTGGTGTTGGTGGTGGATCAGGGGATGTTGGTGTTGGTGGTACAGGTGGTGTTGGTGGTGGTGGGTACAGGTGGTGTTGATGGTACAGGTGGTGGTGAGGTGGTGGTGGTGGTGGTACAGGTGGTGTTGGTGGTGGTGGTACAGGTGGTGATGGTGGTACAGTGGTTGTTGGTGGTGGTGGTACAGGGGGGTGTTGGTGGTGGTGGTACAGGGGGTGTTGGTGGTACAGGTGGTGTTGGTGGTGGTGGTACAGGTGGTGTTGGTGTTGGTGGTACAGGGGTGTTGGTGGTGGTGGTACATGATTTGATTTTGCCGCTTGCAGCGGCTACTTTATTGTGCACCCCACACTCATCCTGTGAGCGGTAGCGCAAAAGGATTACAGAGTAGGGTTTACAAAGGGTCATAATAATTAACCCCGGTTGTCAGGATATTATGGCACCGAAAGTTACACAGTATTTCATTTACATTATTTGTTTAGTTCTATACATAAAGGGTAACTTATTCACAAATGCGTGAGAACAGGCGTGTGAGGCAGTATGTCTGGCCTCACACTTTGTTATTCATATTTACGTGAGAGGTATTCAAGCACATTGCGTATTTGGTTCTGTACATGAGAACTGATATAGTTACTAAGTGCAAAAAAGTGGATACAATCTTAATATGTCGGCTATCTTGCCATTAGAGATGAAGTGTTGTGCCATTTCACACACAGTGTGCTTGGACCTGTCCCTAAAGGTTCTATCTTCACACAGTCGAGGACGTAGTGTTCAAGTGTGTGGCCATATGTATGGCCACACACTTTACATTTAGTTTTGTTTACATCTGCTTGAGGAACATACTGCCAGAGGTACTTATATCCTAACCTTAATCTAGCGGTTACAACATCTTGTAATCTAGTGATCTTGTTACTTGCTCCATATACATGTTTCACTTGATACATCTCATCATGGTAAACTATGGATCGACTAGTGCCTGTTTGCACTTGTCTACTTGCGTCAAACTCATCAATAAGTTCTTTCCTAATTACAGTTTTAAGGGTTCTTTTGACAGACCCAAATTGTATTCAACGGTGTCTTTGTTAGACGCGAGTTTGGCGAGGGCATCAACTCTGTCATGTTTTATGAGGCCTATGTGAGAGGGGATCCACAACAGTTTGACCCTGACACCCCGGTCAACAAGGCACGCATATTTGTGTCTGGCTTCAGAGACAAGAGCGTGACAACCTGAGTCTAGGGTACCAAGGGCAAGTAGTGAGGATAGAGTGTCAGTGATGATGAGACTGTCAGTAACAGTGGTTTCACTGAATTTATTAGCTGTGAGTATGGCAACTAATTCAGTTTTTAGAGTGGATGCCCAGTTGTTAATTCTAACTCCTTTCTCAATTATATTACCGTCAGGTTGAGTCACAACAATAGCACTTCCAGCCCTCCCACAGGCGGTGTTTAGAGATCCATCAGTGTAGATGGTCTGTGTGATATTATCATCAGTCTGTAGAGTGTGTATGTGTTCAAGGGCTCTCAATTTGGCAGTGTGTTGGAGATAAATGCTTTGTGTAATTAATTTTTTAGGCGGATACGTCGGTATTGTGATATCGAAGGGAACTGTCCGCCAGGGTGGCAGGAAGCGCTGTTGTGTCTCAACTTTGTACAGGTGGTCTAGTCCAAACATCTTCATATGTGTAGCTGTAGTTTGGATCCATTTAGACTCAGTAGTCCCATGGTTCATACATTCTAGCAATTTTAAGGAAACAATGTTATCAGGATCACCACGCAGAAGCCTCAGGGCTATCATGAGTTGACTTCAATTATTCTATCTTTAACACTGGGTATACCTAGTTCTTTCCTCATATTAAGTACTTTAGTGCTCATGGGACATCCTAGGATAATTCTGAGGGCTTTATTTTGCATTTTCTCGAGCTTGTCAACGCCTTTCCGTCACGAATGACCAGGGCTGGTGCGTGGTAATCTATCAGAGATCTTATATAGCCTAGGTACATTGTTTTAACAATTCTAATATTAGCACCATAGTGCGGGCTGTACCCCGCTACACTTCTAAGAGGTCTCAGTCTGTCAGTACATTGGCGGGTTAGCTGTTGTATAGCAGGTAGGGTACAAGGGACGGAAACACCAAGATATTTAAAAGAAGAAACATAGTCAATAGTGTTGTTACCTATCTTGAACTTGGCGGGGCCGCGTTTGCGGTTCCCAGCTTGTTTGTTGAACACCTTAGTTTTCTCAGTGGAGATAATAAGACCGAGGTGTTCACAGGCTGCGTATACATGGTTCAGGGTGGTTTGCATTTCACGATGAGTTTTAGTATGTATAAGAATATCATCAGCATAGCTGATTGATATATTGCTGGGGTTGTCTGGTATTAAATTTAATAATGCATTCATAAGAACATTGAACAAAGTGGGGCTAAGTACTCCACCTTGAGGGGTACCAAGTTGCATGTCTTTAACTTCACTTTTGTAACCCTGAAACAGTGCAGCAGCCAGGTGGTGGTGGTGGTACAGGGGGTGGTGGTACAGGTGGTGGTAGTGGTGGTACAGGTGGTGTTGGTGGTACTGGGGGTGTTGGTGGTTGTGGTACAGGTGGTGTTGGTGGTGGTGGTACAGGTGGTGTTGGTGGTGGTGGTACAGGGGGTGGTAGTGGTGGTGGTGGTACAGGTGGTGGTGGTGTATAGGAGGTGTTGGTTGTGGTACAGGTGGTGCTGGTGGTACAGGTGGTGGTGGTGGTGGTACAGGTGGTTTTAGTGGTAGTACAGGTGGTGTTGGTGGTGGTGGTATAATGGGTGTTGGTGGTAGAGCAGTAAAATATGTGTCTTTCACCACTACATCAAGGATTTGAGTCCTACTCGGCCCAGACACACGTGAGAAGGGTGTGACCCTCACTACCAAACACCACAGGTTTCTCTGAGTCCGACTTCCTTCTGTACCAATACTGGATAGACCAACCACCTGAACGGCTAAATAAGTGGTGGAAATTATAGCAAAAAAGGAGGAGGAAATATGACATAACACTAGGTGTAATCGCTCATAGGAGCGATTTTCGTTTGTGCAGGACAATAAGACCCTTGTAGTTGAGGCGATGAGTATAATTCGGTCAAAACCTGTTGAATACAATTCACATATAACAACTGCTGGTACATCAAGACACAGTTTGAATAATACGATCAATATTCACTACATAATTTCACTTTTTAAAATTATTTAGAGTTCTCAGAGGATTCAACAGTTCACAATCACACTCACGTTTTGGGATCTAGTGTTAGATCAACGAGAACAAATCTAATGTAATGCTGGTGATATTGGCTGACGAGAATCCAGATGCTGCCTTTACAGTAGAAGGCGATAGACTGTCCCTCAGACATTCACACAGTTGTTACCAGTTCCATTTCGCTTAGTGACATGTGGCCGGCTCGCCCATTTAACACCTCACCAAAGTTCGTTGTGAACACTGTCTCAACTCTCTCCCTTTCTCTTTCTCATCTAGTTTATCTTACTGTGGCTATCCATCTCTTTCTCTCTCAGTTCTAGTTTATCTTACTGTGGCGGTAACACTCTCCCTGTCGGGCTTCACACAAAATTACGGCCTACCATTAGATTCACTCTCTGACCCCTTCCAACAGGAAGAGTCTCGTCGCTGGGCGTATTAACACTGTGTCCTTTGTCTTCACTTTAACACTTCGCACCACGCAATCTGCGCTCGGTAGTGCCTCCGGTACTCTCTCTAGCATCCACTGACTCCTGGGGATGGACTGTCCAGAGATGATCACAATATTCCAAGCGTGGAGATTACAGTGAGTTTTGAATAATCTTTGTCACTGACGCAGTGTCGGGAGATATTCCTTCACCCACGTCTTCCAAAAGTAAGGTAAAAATACTAAAAAAAAACATTTAACACTTACAGATAAAATACTCCAGTCTAGCTTGATCCAAATTTATTTAAAAATAAAATCCATTCTTCTTGTTTTCTTTTGAGCGAAAAGGTCAACAACTTTCTCATTGATGTTTGGATGACTGTTAAAGAAATTTTTCTCCTTTGAAATCATTGCAAGTGTATTTAGCCTTTCCTGATTCATAGTGCTCCTCAGAAAAGTTTTTATTCTTTTTAATGTTGAAAAGCAGCATTCAGGCTCTGATTTAGTCATAGGAATTGTCAAGAGGATTTTTATGAGTTTCGTAATCTCACTAAGAACACCATCTAAATTATTTTCCAAGATAATTTTCAGCAGGTTAATTAACCTGCAATATTCATGCATATCGGACCTACTGTAGAATACTCTAAGTTCAGTTTCAAATTTTTCTTTGTCAATCATGGAATATGCTTCAGTGGTCAATCCTATCTCTGCTGTAGGCAGTTTATTCTTAAAACTAGTGAAGCTTTTCTTGTTGAATAATTTAGCAGCTACTAATTGTTTAGTGAAAGAATATCTCTCCACTATATCAACACATATGCAGTCACATACTTCCTTTGCTTCAGCCATGAGCGTCTTTGAAGGATTCTCACATTACTTTGAGTTTCTTATTTCTAAAATAGCAGTTTGGAAATTTTTTATATATTCATGTACTTTAAACACATCTATTTCTCGAGACTGCATTTGGTTGTAAATTACTTCAACATGAGGCATGATCTGATGAAAAAGCTCCAACCAGAACATGAATTTTTCATTATTCAGGTAGTGCAAAATTCCTGTTGCTTTTGAAATGATTCGATCTGCATTTACCGTCAACTGGATTTCAGCAAGGCAGCTTTTTAAAGGTTGCAAATTTTCATGAACTTTGTTCACGGTCTGTATGTTAAAGTTCCACCTTGTAGAGGATGGGCGCGGAATGCTGACGTTCATATGCTTATTGAGAATGGATACACGTTGTGGTGATCTTGAGAAAAATGTTGCTATAGCCAAAACGTTAGAGAAAAATATTCTTGAGTCCAGCGTAATACTTGCTGCATTTCTCATTATCAGATTCTGTTGGTGCGCATTAACAGTGAATGAAATGAGCATTATTATAAACTGCTTTTATTTTTGCCTGAACGCCCCTTTTTTGCCTTTCATGACATTTGCACCATCAAATGTCTGAGCTCTCAGTTTTTGTCTATTTCCTTGAAGGATTATATCTAACTGCTCTAGAATACATTTTGATATGCCATCTGCAATTTGATTTTCTGGGATAAATAATCCCCAAAAACGCTCAAATATTTCTTCATTCAGCACGTACCGTAGAACAATTACCATTTGAGTGTGTTCTGAAACATCTGTTGTGTCATCAGCCATGACAGCTACAAATGAAGCTTCTTTAATCTCTTTCTTTATCTCATCATGGTATATCTGCAGCAGGCAGTCAAGTATCTCATTCTGAATAGTCTTCGAAACACCTGTGAAGACTGTACTTGTTTCTAAATGGTTCTTTAAATCTGGGTCTAATTTAGATGCAAAATTTATTAATCCCCTAAATACACCTGGATTTACTGAATCATCTTTTTCATCATGTCCATGTAAAGGAATTTCAAAGTTTCCACAAAATGTAATGCAGTCTATTATCTTGGATAAAATTTCACGGTTCTTGGTAACCTTCCTGTTATGCTCATTGATCGAAAGTCTATAGGCTTCACTAAGTTTTTCTTTAATATTTACGCTTCCTAAAAGTGAGAGTGAAACCACGCTTTCAATATGCTTCTTTGACTTTTCACGTTTTTCAATTTTTTCTTTCATTTTGTTTATATTTCTAAAGCCGTCTTTTGTTCAAGTTACATCACTTCCAATTCCAAACAACAAACACGGAAAACAAAATAATGTATTTTTTACTTCACAACCACAGAGCCAATTTTTCCTTTGGTACCATTCTGAATGAAAGCTACAAATATACCTCTTACTGTTGCTTATTCCTGGTTGAGATATTTGAATATCAGGTGAGGGATGGCCTCTTGTCTTAATAGCAACTTTCTCATGAAGAGACAACTGTGAAAATTTAAGTTGTTGAAGTTCACTCACTGTCACAGAACTTGTTTCTTGGGAAAACAAGGAGGCCATGTTAAATTATTTCAAATTCTTCTACACAATAAAGTTTTGGAAAAAAACAATGAATACAAAATGTAGTCTCTATGAGTATGAATCGCATCATCCGGTGTGGTGCTTACGCGCCATCTGCTATATCAAGAGTATTTGAATGTGATAAATTGTAGATGATGTGATATCATACAGTATGATATCTCATCATCTACAATTAATCACATTCAAATACACTTGATATAGCAGACGGCGCGTAAGCATCACACCGGATGATGCGTAAACAATCACCTCCCACACTGATAACCAGATCGGCACTGTGTGATCCAGTGCTCGCCCCCGCTTGCCTCCAGGACATTCGCGTATGCGTGCGACAAAGCAAACGCCCGTTATTGGAACTGTCGAGTAAGACAGTTCCACATACAGGGATTTTTGTTGTTTTCTCTGAATTAGAGGATGGCCATTGACATTAAGTTTAAGGATTATTGATAATAGTTTTAAATGCCTTGTACAAGTATAAATAAATAAACTTATATGATATATTATATTATATAATACATATACAGTTGACCCTCGTTAAAATGGACTAATAGGGGGGGAAGGGTGTCCGTTTTAGCCGATTGTCCGAATTAACCGATTTAGGGGTTAATATTGCATAATATTGCATTATATTTCAAAGAAAATGCAGTGAGTTTGTCCTTAGCCTTGCATACAGTAGGCTCTCGCCAATAACGTCTAATAGGTGCCTGAAAAACGCCGTTATTAGCGCTCACGGCTCGACACAACGCTCTCCTAACCACCTACCAGCCCCCTTCCCACTGACTTAGTAGAATTTGAGGAGCAGCAAGCGCCTGGACAAACTAAAATTAAAAGCGGCTCTACCCCATTGACTTACCAATGAAACTATTCAAGGAGTTCTCCCGGGCTTGCTAAACCCCTCTGCTCCATCATCAATGCTTCTCTCAGTCAAGCCAGATGCCCAGCTGACTGGAAGACCTCTTATGTATCACCAGTGCCCAAGTCAACCAGCCCACAATCCTTAAATCAGCTACGACCTATTGCAATCACCCCAATACCCAGCCCTAATCTGTGAAAGTTTTGTGTTTGACTGAAGCTTATGCTGATGTGCAGAATTAGACCCTCAGCAATTTGGCAACATGAAAACTTCCTCCACCACTCACTGTCTTGTCAGCTTTCTGAATTACATATACCGCCATCACCAGCTTGAAAAACGTCTGTAGCTGTCGCCTTCATTGATTTCACTAAAGCCTTCGACCTAGTCGACCACAATATAATCATAAACAAAGCTATTGACCTCGGGCTTGGAGAAGTCTCGTACCATGGCTTACAGACTTCCTCAGTGACCCGGCGCCAAGAACTGTGCAGCTTCCGAGGGGCTGTCTCTCCACCTTTCAGTCACTCACCTGTAGAAGCGTCCCCAAGGCACCAAGATGGGACCACTCTCTGCTTCCTTATGCTCATCAATGATGCCCTAAGAGGAAACCCCTGCTCGCTGGAAATATGTCGGCGACTCCACCATTGGGATCAGCGTCAACAATTCTGCTCCCCAACTATACCGCCCTTCCAGGATTTATTGAACAGTCTCCAAAACTGGGCCACCAACAACCATGTCACCATCAACCATACCAAGACCATGGTTATGCATCAACCTCTCCTCCGACATTGTCCCACCTCCTTCCATTACCCTAGGTCGAACACACTCCAGGTTGTAGATTCCGCGAAGCTCCTGGCGTCTCGCAGACAACAAAACTAGAATTGGAAACCACACGTCCAGTGGTTGTCAAATCCTCCAGTTTCCGTCTCCACCTCCTCCGCCGACTCAAGTCCCTCGGGTTCCGCACACGAGCTCCTCAGTGTATACACAACATTCACTTCCCAAGCTCACCTATGCCCCCACCTGGTCTTCCTCTAAATGCCACACAACGTAAACACCTAGAAAAAGAGAAATTGAGGGGGCATGCAAGATTCTAGCCCTTCCTACTCACATATCAAGCTCAACACACTGACCTTTAGGCTCTTTATTACTGGCCTCATCTGCAAATTTGGTAAGAAGCTTCTACACTACCCCGACCGGCCCCTACTACCCACCTGAGATCCCCTGTCCGAGGTAACATTCGACACCACAACATCCAGCCCATACGGCGCCACGGGCTTGATCGCTATAAGAACAGCCCAGTCCCAACCATTAGCAAAAATTATCAATAACATGTAATAAAATCAATTATTCACTCCCAGTAAACACTGCTCCTACACTGTCACTATGTTGGGAAATGAACTGTAGTTTGAGCTGATCCCCATCTAAGTTACTATATGTCTTATTTGTGTCACTTATGTCACTTGTATATTATTTATGTTCGTAACCCATTCCCCAAATATGTAACTGTATATTTTCAACCTTCTGGCTGCCAAGCTCTCCAATAAACCGTTAATTATTATTATTATTATTATTATTATTGATACGCCGCTTAAAATTTCACCCATTTGTTCCCCTTTGAAGCCCTGCCTAACACTTTTTGTTAGCTGAAATAAAAGGATTTGTTATTCAATCATCAGAATAAAAGAATTTGAGTAATATAACACTTACCCGTAGCTTGGGGGAGTTTTTGAGGTGCTTGGTGTGTTTATTGTTCCGTGGCTGGGCATGGAGGCTACTGCGTTGAACCTCCATCCCCGTGCTGGCCTCTCGCACCCGGTTCACCCACTTCGGCTAACACTTCATCAAACCCCGCAAAGTCAAAATCTTCAGGCGTTTCCCCAATGTCATCAATGTC